TTAAACTATGTTAAACTGATGAATGATGGATAATCATCAACATTTAGTTTAAGAATGGAAACGACCTCTGATATTGTGGGAAAATGATGGATGGGATAAGAATAACGATGCATCATAATACCAATATTGAAAACATGACAAGCGGAAACTACATATTATATGGCATTAATTACTATGGGAAACTGAATCACAGAATATTGTGGGAAAATTATGGGATCATTACGAGAACACGTTATACATTAGGGTAATATCATATCTGTTTAATTTAATGAATATTGTGGGAACATGATTGGATAAGAATAGGACAAACATGTGGATTACGATGACAGTGGTTTAAAACCCATTGGGAATTGGGAGTTTTTGCGAAAGGCGGGTATGGACAATCAGCATTTTGAATAGGCACATCATCGGACTCGATGGGCCCTGGATCAATATGTTAAACATTGGGGTAATTTCATGTAATGTCAACTTTGGATTAATAAACCCCCGTTTACGGTTGTTTAATTGGGGGGATACCATATAAAAAGTATTGGTTTATTAATCCGGGGTTGACATTAATTTGTAGATGGGACATTGAGATGATAGGTATTGGCAATAGCTTGGATTTTTTTTTTACTGTTGAGCATTGAAAATCATTGAGCCATGGGGTATTGCCAAGATATATCTCCACAGAAGTTACATGGGACCAGAGGCGCATCCGCAGAAAAATCCCAGGAAATATGAACCCCATGGATGGTACATGGGGAGGACCATCCATGGCTGGTACTGGTATTGTCTGGGCAAAGGACCATCAAACAACCAGGTGTGACTACCCTCTACATAGCTATGGAAAATCACCATTTTTAATGGGAAACCTCACTATAAATGGCCATTTTCAATAGCTATGTTAGTTTACCAGAGGGTAAACGAAGAGGAAGAACGGGATGTCTTGGTGAAAGTCACTGAGGAATCCTGCAGAGAGACCTCTGTTCAAGACTTTGGTGGAGGAACTGAGGGACCTTTTCTTGGTACTTCTGACCTGTTTGGGACGACCAACTATGGATAAAGACAACGAACTGATCTGGGTAAGACATGATAAGACCCTGGGGTTTGTGGGTTACAACAACACCAGGGAGGTGCACAGGTCGGGTCGTATAAACCTCTGGGGTGAATTTGATGAGTCGATGGATCTAATTTTCAGACAACTTCAAGTGATATCACTTTGGATCAATGGGGGGCGAACACATAAATAAATAAGTAATAATAAACATACAGTACTCATAATGATACTGACAAATTTTCCCATTCTTTCATAGTCTTACTCCCACCATCGTTACAATTCTTGTTGCTTACGTGACTTGTGTGCAAATAGATCAGCCGGCATGATTGGTAGGTCGCTTGACTGGAGCTTCCCCCCCTTGTGTGAGTCATAAACATCGTTTTTCGCTGAATGCTTGCCGATTTGGATGGTGGGGCTTTGGCCAATCACAGGCACGCTTGATTCCAGATGAGACTCTTCCAGAGAGACTCCAGATGATTCAGGAAAAGCTGGAGATGGGCACATGACATCACGATACCAACTGTTGACTGCTAGCCTTTGGGCTCCTGAGAAGCCAAAAAAGATGCTGATGTGCCAAAGACATACACAAAGAACAGCAAACATTTGGTTTATCCATCAGATTGGGCGAAAAGCGATGTTTGTGCTGCTTCCTACAATGATTTCATCAACGTGTGGCCTTCACAAGCAAACGCTTTGTACTTGTACCACTTTTGGCTAAGAGAGTTTGTGAAATTGGTGACTGTAACCGACCTAGACGCTGAACATTTGCCAAAGTGCCATTGATTGCCACTGACTTCCAGGCCATATTGCTTCAGACATGTTGAGCTGTTTTTTTTTTGGGTGCTTTTGTGGTAAGTAGCAACTCTGCAGGCCCGTTGCAGAAGCGCACTCCGCTATTACATAGGTGCCAGGCAGGAATCTTGCACCTGGGTTTTTGGATCTGTGTGTTTTCCCCGCTTGGAGAATCTTGGAATGTCTTGGAATTGAAGTGATGCTTTCCCTCTTTGACGGTGCATAAAAAGGTCAGGTGGGAGCTGCAGAGCTTCAGGGTCAACGAAGGCAATTTGTAAGGAGTCCCAAGGCGGGTTCCTGTTTTCTTGGATCATTAAGGCCTTCATTGTTGTCGTTCTTGAGTTTCTATTAATATTGGACTGTTTCTTCCGGGATGTAATTTATAAAATTAATCATCAAGAGGGAGGGTGCCTCGGTTGAAGTCGGCCAGGTAGATGGAAGATGCCAAGGCCTTGAACCGCCGCGGCTGGGAGCGTCTTTGCCAAGGATGCCGCCATGAGGCCATGGAGGACTTCTCTCGAGCCATCGAGCTGGATCCGGACTTCGCAGAGGCCTACAGCAACCGAAGCATCGCCAAGCAAATCGCAGGTGAAGATGCCGCGGAAGATGAAGCCATGGCGAATGCCTTGACGAGTCAGGATCCTGAAGCCCACATGATACTGCAACAGCAGCGGAAGTGGATGTGCGTCGGCTACAACACACGAGGAGAACCTGAAGGTGAGAAGACAGCAGTGGATGCAGATTTTCTGATCTCCTTTGCCAGCCCGGACAGAAATGAAAACAACCGGATCCTCCACGAAGTGAAGACGGGAGTCTACTATGATGGGAGTCTTCGCCTCTTGCCATCATAAGTAGAAATTGGTCCGGCAGGATTCCCAAGTCTTGTGCTAGCTGTTAGTTTTGCTTCTGACAGAGGCTGTTCACCTTTCGCAGTTTGTCTTCTTGAATGGCATAAGGCGCTGTTTGAACGACTCAGGACCGGTGACCTTCTGCACCGACAAGTCACTGGGGATGGGGCTCCACATCAAGGAAGGGCAAGAGATGAGACGCTGGAAGCCAATTTTCTCGGACCTGGATCAGGACCTGGATCAGCCCCGGCAGCCGGGAGAATATCCTCCCTGGTTCAAGCACTACAAAGAGGCGGCGGAAGAAACCAGGCATGGACTCCTCATTTTGCAGCTGACCGATTCGTATTTGAAGCTGCTCAGTTCAGTTGGGCAGATGTTTTTGTTCTTAAGTAGTTTTCGTTGCATGTGGGTGTTATCTTGTTTTGTTTGGGTCCTATCCATATTGGCGATTACTGGCGTGCTTTTACGTAAAGGATCCAAGAAAAACCTCAGGTTACAAGGCTATAATGTTAGGATCGCGCTGAAGTACTAACAAATTATTATTCTTGTCGTGCAGAGGCCTTTGGGGTTGAAATATGTAGGTTACGTAGTATATATAAACATTTTGAAATAACAAATGCCTTTGCGAGGTCAAGTATTTTTTGCAGCCATGGCAATGAAATTTGAGAAAGCCACCTTGCCGACCCGAAAAAACAAGTTGCAACAGTTCGCTCTACACTGCCCCATATTTCCATGTACTGTACTTCCCCTAATATCACCAGTTGTTGAAATGTCGACATTTTTTTATATTCTTGGGGGGGGCAATGTTTTTGATATTTTGTGAGGACGATGCCCTTTTTGATATTCTGCCGGGGCAACCTTTTCTATATTCTGCGGGGACAACCTTTTGGCTTTTCTGCGGGGACGATATTTTGAAGCAAAACATCACCCTTTGGAACGTTTGCAAGGACAATCTGCGTCATGGATTTTGTGTTTGACATGGTTTTCCTCAAAGGACGACCTTTTGGACCAAAAGGTCACCCTTGGGAATCATCTGCGGGATAATCTGCGGCTAGGACTTGCAAAAAAAAGGTGCAGAGTATCCCCAGGGGCGACCTTTTGGACCAAAAGGTCGCCCTTTTGAGCTTGCTAAATTCTAATCGAAATCGACGACCCAGATTGTCTCGAAATCAAAGATTGGCAGATTATCCTTTGAGAATTTGAACATACCAAATCCATGATTCAAACAAATTACTTCAAATCATTAGCTAAGCAAATTACAGTACCACACAAAATCGCAAAATATCTCTACCAGATCCGCCCAGATAGTCAACTCAAAACCACTCACACCTACCTGGCTCCCTAATGGATACTGCAGAACTTTAGAAGAATATATCATTTTACAATATTTTACACTACGTTTTTCCAAGTGCAGAATGCCTGATTGCATTATGCAGACTAAATTCCAGATAGCCATTTCATGCAATTTCGGGACAAATCAAATTCTTAATCAGGCGTCGGTTTTCCATCAAAACAATAATATTATATTGTATTCAAGTGGTCCATAATTTGGATAAAACAAGAACGTAAAATACATTGAATACCACAGTATAATTTCCTGCCCAAACCTATCCAAAACATCCCAGTGCTCCTAGGTTGAAACCAATCCGATGATTTTATCACGAAAGGTAGCTCCAGAGGGGCTACCTTGAGTTTTACTTTACGAAGTAAAGGGGAGGGCGGCCAGCCCCGTTACCTGATTATTCAGGAGATTGCTAGTCATTTTGGTACCCCCCCCCCCCTCCACGCCTCCCACGCACCCTAAGAGCAGACTCAAAACATTGTAATTTACAGTATTTTTGTTCTTTTCGGATCAAGAAACCACATTTTGTTACATGGTGAAACCTCCGTAAATACCAGTGTTTTTGCTAGGTGCTGGCCAAAAAACACTGTAAATACCGTGCTTTTTGCTACCAGAGGCAAAAAACATCGTAAATACCGTGGTTTTGGGCTTCCGACCCGCCAAAAACATTGGTATTTACGATGTTTTTTGCTCCGCGAGTTGCAAAAACACGCGAAAACACCACCTATTTGACGATTCTCGGCCACTACGGAACCGAGAAAAAACGCTGCAGGGGTAACACCACCACCACCACCACCACTACCACCAACAACAACAACAACAACAGCAAGAACAACATCATCATCATCAAACAACAACAACAAGAACCACAACCACAACCACAACCAACAACACAACGCAACACACGCAACAACGACAACACAACACAACACACACAACAACACACACCACACACCACACACCACACAACAACACACAA